TTAGAAAATTTCCAAGCCTAGTACCCGCGAATAGGGTTTAGAAATATTTTGATCGAATTTACTCGATTTTGGATACTTAATCCAGATTAATAATGTCCGTTTATAACATAAATGTATCGGGAACTAATTATCGAAACTATTGTGTTATTGAAAATAAATTAAACCGAATAGATTTTCGACTTAAAGTCGAACTTATTTCTGAAATGTCTTTTAAATTGGGTCGAAAACTAAAACGAGCAATATTAATAAAAGGAAATTCAATTCAATTTTGGAACTAAACACATCACTTTGTCGCAGTATTAATAAATGGTAAATGTGTATTAATTTGTCAAGTGGGTGGGCGTTAGTTGCAGTGCAACGCATTAATTTGGAGTGTGGCATATATGGTGTAGAAAATTACACTAATGACCTTAATGAGTATTTTTTTTTTGCATTTTTATAAGTGGTTGGATCATCCGATCCAATGACTACGATGTATTCTCAGTTTTTAACTGGACATCTTTTTCACCGGATTTGGCAGCCTTGTCTCTGCCAGTACTTGAAGAACCCTCTCCTCCAAAATTACATCAATTCCCCAGGTGCCAAAACAGTCGCCGCCGCTTGTAAAACCCCCAACCCGAAATGCTAAAACTATTCACGTTGTATCTAATTTGTATTATCATTTTAAGCTACCAAGTTATGTCCCGATTTCCCACTTCCTGAGTAACGATATATGTCGCCCCAGTCACCATTTCCTTGTTTGTTTGTTCTTGGAACTTAAATTTGGTGTCCTTTGTGGTACGAAAGCGTGTGTTCTGCTTCATTCAGTTTCTCCCATTCTCAATTGTTCCAAGATTTTGTCATCGTGAGTACTTCAGAATAATAACATGGTTTTATATATACGTAATTGATCTTTATGATGGATAGTAACCAGGGTGGCTCACCCGGGCTCCAGCCCAGTCTTAATTTTTTGTCTAATATAAATATGTAGTAGTAAAAAAAAAATATTTTAACTCATGTGTTATTAATTTAATTCATGATATAATTATTTGGTCCGTATTCATTTAAAATAATTGATATTAAACCAAAATATTATACATATTTTTTAACATGGCTCAAGCTTTTCATATGTACTTTATGTGGTTATAGCTTACTTTATCATTTTTTCTTCTTTATTTTATTTTTTAATGTTTGATTTAATACACGATTAATTTATATTATTTATATTAGTTTATATGTGAAATACATCAACTTGTTAACTTTTAAATAAATTATATCTGAATATGTGAAATAGATAATTTAAATTCATTAATTTGCATAGCAGATCAATGAAACGACATTTGAAATTCCACAATTTAAGCGAAATATCATAGAAACCAAATTGAGTCGAGTACATCGTGTCCGAACTTGTGTTCGTCTAATAAATGAACATGTTTGGCTCGAAACATTTAATAAATTGAGTGTAATCAACTAAGCTCCGCTCGTTTGAACTAAGTTTTTATTTTATGTTTTATTATATGAATGAATCACGATTGATTTTTTACGAGTCGAACTGAGTTATACTCCCTAACAAATCGGTTCTAGCAGCCCAGGATAAAAAATATTTTTGGCTACGCCCCTGATAGTAGCCAATGTATGATTTCATGTTTTACTGTTATTTG